GCAAATCTTGACGAGGGATTTCGTACGTGAAAGCTGATTTTGGGATCTAATTCAAGGACACCGCCCAAGCGTTGCACTCGCTGCTGATTGTAAGGTGCTTCCTCCATCGCATGGCACCCATCAAACTTCGCGACTCCCTCTTCGAAAAGCTAGGGGTGAATACCCTGAGGCGGGATAGAAAACTTCCCATTTTGGAACACTTATGCGGACAACTGTTCCTCCAACATTCAATATTAAACTACTTTTACAAGAAGACCACTAGTCCGCGGAGACAAGCACTGACTGGGCGATCTTTTAGCTTCCGGTTTCGCGATTTACCCCTGGACTATGCAACTCTAAGGGTCTATCATGAGACCAAAATCCCACAATCTCATTTGCAAAGTTACCACATTTGAAAACCCTGCAAGTGCAGGATGGCATTTCTGAAGGGAGCGTCCGAGAAGATTTAATAGACTCAGGTTTGAACAAAAAATTGCGAAAAGCAAAACATATTGAAAACTAGAAGAATAGTGCTTTAAGATGCTTGAAAGCAGTGGCTCGGCAAATCTCAACCAAGGTAATCCCAAACATCCACTTTAGAGAGCTCGAAAATTGCGAGAAAGAGCGTTTTTCAATGCGCTTCTCTTTGAACTTGGACGAGTGGAGTGAAGCATGACACTGAATCGTCGCAGGACCCAATGGTTATGGCATTGTGGCAGGCAGCCTCCAACAGTGAGAAATGCCAGCTCGTCCGAGTAAAATCGGCTTGCGCGTGTAACAGCAGTTTTCTCGGCAGGGAAGGCATGCTGTGCGACCGGGTTTGCGCTGCTTCCATACTTGGGCGAAAAGCAATCTACCGCGTTAAAATCCTGAGTTGCCAAATTTTGCCGATCCACTGCCTTCAGCGAGTTTTGGAGAAAAATGGTTTTCCTCTGAAAATCAACTTTTCAAAAAAAAAACGCTAGAATACGGCATCACTTAGGGACATTTAATCAGATCAAATCAAGCTGTCATTTGGGAATCATAACCGATCAAACAGACCGTACCTATCAAACAGATGCAGAAAGAACACATGCCAGCCCACTATTTCGCTAAAATTTTCGATTACATCTGTTGTGTACCGCCCAAGAAAGGGTGGAATAGAATGAAGAAGATGTTTCTGCCTTTATTTTAATTATCTTAATATCTCCTTCTCTGGGTATGAATAAACACATTTTTATTTGATAACATTAATTTCTCTGTATTCTGCAATTCCAAATAAACGACTTTCATCAATCGTCTTCATAGCAGTCTATTATGGATCCAACACCTTCAACTTAGTTAAACGCTTCCTTATGACAACTATCATGCCACAAAAGGTTCAGTAACTAATCAAATTCGCATTTGTTCTTTTGCGAGAATTTCTTCCTCCCGATATTACCAATCTTACATGAAATAGAGTATGGAATGAGTAGCTGAAGTCTTATCCACATCTCATTCATGATTGCCAGCATTGCAACGTTCGTTTCAAAGCCGACATCATGAGAGCACGAGAAAGACAAATAGATAATGGAACCAGTACGAGCTTCGAATCAGAGATGCAGAGTCGACGCACTGATTACATACTGCAATCATTGACTCTTTTGTGAAAAGCTTGATTTTCGAATTCTATCTCGAGCAAGTCGAATTAAATCGACATATCAAAGCCCGAGTTACCATGGAAATGATGGT